AGTGTCCCTTCCCAGACAAACCGATGTCAGAAATTCAACTGAGCACAATGAACTATTGATCTCTTCTCACATGCGCTTCCTGTTCTAGAAGAAACATTGCTTCTAGGGGTTAAAGCTCAGTTACCCACTGAGAGTGTTGCATGGCATTATAGTATTTTATGTAGAACTCTGAAGGCTTTTGATCACTTTCTACAAAGATATTTTCACGGTGCCTAAATCCCCTGGGACTCTTTGCATTTCACGTCCATACTAGTTGGTGATTAGGGATGTTTTATAGGCCCTGATGGTAAATAATAGCAGTAGACAAAAAAACATTTTTGGCTATGTAATTCAGCTAGAAAGTCTGTTTGAATTTTCATCCACTGGGCAGGCTGAAATATTTTATTTTATTTTGTTTTATTTTTTTGCAGAACCGGGGATTGAACTCAGGCCCTTGTGCTTGCCAGGGAAGCACTTATTCCACTGAGCCATCTCCCCGGCCTGAAATATTTTAAATATTTAACCTGTTTCTCTGCAGCCTCAGGAGTCTCTAGAATTGACATCCACAGCCTGGAATGAGTGATAGTAGGTGGACATCGCCTTATTTATTTATTAAAGAGAATAATCATGAAATGGGAATGAGAGACGATACAGAAGTTCACTAAGCAGAACAACAGGAGTCCAAGAGCAATTGTTGTACTGCATAATGTTGTCTTCAGACAAATTGTTTAGATTACCCGACATAAGCATGCGGAATTGGTTAAGAAAAACAAAAGGAACGGCCACGAAGCTCCATGCAGCTTTCTTTTCTTGGGTGACAGACACCTGACATGGATCCTTTAACTTTTCAGTGCTAATGAGAAAGAATAAATAGGGCTGGGGAGATGGCTCACTAGAATAAACGCTTCCTTGGCAAGCACAAGGGTCTGAGTTCAATCCCTGGTTCCACCGAGAGAGAGAGAGAGAGAGAGAGAGAGAGAGAGAGAGAGAGAGAGAGAGAGAGAGAATCAGTGAGACCAAACAGCAAAAGACAACGTGCTGTTTTATTTATGTATGTTTCTTATTTTCCTTGTTAGGTACCCCGCAACTTCAAGTTCAAAGGGGGCATTCATATTCAAGAATATTGAACTTCAGCTGTGTTGACCTAAGCCTCTGGACTTTGCCCAAAGGCCCCCAAAACATTCTCAAAGAAGGACTCTTGAGATGGCATCGTGAGGCCAATGACAACTGGCCCTGGGGCCTAATCTCAGGACGCACGCTTAAGATGCCTTAGTGAACCAAGAGTAATAAAAAAAAAGCATTTGGGAAATTCAGATTTTTCTTCCCAAAGTCTCAGAGTAGTTCAGTCTACCAATGGCTTCCCAGCAGCACCTTCAATGTGTCTTTTCCAGAAAATACCTTGCCGGGAACTGTGCTTGCTCTCTGCTCTCAGACTTATCCAAAATGACTCTCAGGTTCTAGGTTGTATTGTTGTAAAGCTCATATCCAGGAGAATCTCAGATGAGAATCTGCCCGACTCTTTTCTGCTGCTTGTTCTGAGTGCTCCAAGGGGACCCCCACATGCATTTTGTGTGTGGTGATTAGATTTTGTTTCCCTAAACACTGGTCATGCAGTCCCTTTAGAAATGCAAGTGAGAGAGGAAGAGGACCGGCTGATTTCAGAGAGGAGGTAGGGCTTTGTGGTTTCCAAGACCATAGTGTAGCAGGGATTTCTAGAAATCTTCAGGTCATCTGACCTCAAAAACCACAGGGAAGAGCTTCATGACAGCAACATCCAGGCCTATTATGGATGATAGACTACAGCAAACCAGGTAGAATTGGGCTTCTCAGCATTCACATGGGAGTGGCTACCAACAGCCTCCAGACACGTATCTTAACTACTGACTCAATAAACAACAACAACAAAAAATATTCGTAGTACAGATCTAGGTTCTTTCTGTGCGTCTAATGTCCCCTCAAGTGATCTAAATTGACACAATGTGATCTGGTTGCGGTCTGCTGAGATGTTATAAGCACAAACTTTCTGTTTTGGGTTTTCATCTTGCTTTTATTCCCCAAGCCTTCCCGGGCTTGCTTTACCTGGAGACTCCGCTGATTTCCGATCGCTGGTCCTGGGGAAAGTCCCCTTAAGCAGTGAATGTATGTGATCGATCGCTCTGTGCCGCTGGCAGGAGATGAAGAGCCACACAGCAGGCCTGCTCAGTGTTTTAATTGAAGTCTCCCAGTCACCAGAGCCCAGAGGGACTTCTGGACCCACAATAATTCCTGCGTTTGTTTGACAGTAATAGTGGCATTTTCTCAACTCCCCAGACAATACATTGTTTCCCTAGTGACAGAGTCCATCAAATTTCAAGTGCAAGCTGCGGTGATACTCTCCATCATTTTTTTCTTACCAGCCTTGTGTGCTCGGCAATCCCCCCTGACTTACTGCCCTGGCATCCCTGACAGTGCAAGTTTATTTTGGCTTATACAGAAGCCTGGAGTTGCACCCTCCAGGGGTGCAGTCTCTCCTGTCTTTCCGTTTCCCCTTGGGAGTTGTCCTTGATGGAACTCACAGCTGCAAGGGAAGCGGCTATCAAGAGCCAGGTCTGGGTGACCAGACCATGAACAGAGAAGGTCACAGCGATGCAGCAAGAAACTCATAGCGAGGTGGTCTCATGGGCCAGAACAGAAAGGCCCTACTTCAGCATGCAATCCCGGGTTATAGGGATGCTGGGGGTGGGATTGGGAAACATAGGTGACATTTTTATTTTAACCTAAACACATTGCTCTCCCAGTTAGGAATTTATTAAAAAGAAGCAGGAAGTAGGGTATTTGATGAAAAGGAAATTTCAAGCACACATCTCCCTGTTTCATTGCAGAAGCTAAGAATATCCGTGCAGGCACCTGGCAGTGCCTGCAGAATCAGAGTTGCACCAAATAACGTTTCCTCCCCTGGGCTCATCATTTCTCCAGATCCCCGTTCTTAGCCAATTCCTCACTGTACAATGATGCCTTAGTGCCACAGTTTACAGGCCATTTAATTAACCCCGGTGAATAGCTTCATATTTAGAGAGAAAATAAATGGCATCAGAGAAAAAATATTCAACTCCATCTCATCACGGATGGATCGTTTCAAACGAGAAGTGTCCCTTGGTACACAGAATTCCTGTAACAGTTACAAGAGCAGCTAATTGTTATTTCAGATAGGGTTGTTCTACCAGCTGTTAAAAGCTATAAAAATGGTTTACAACGCTGCCTATGTTCTCGTGTATGAGATTAGCAAAGAAGATTTACACCACAGGGAATAAAAGAATAGGCACACACTTTTCAGATTATAGTAAGATCTTTATTATTAAGTGACTCATTGTGGTTTTCTAGATACGTTATAAATTTGTACCAAAAAGTTGAAGATGAATACCTCACATGAATGCTGATTTTATATTCTGCTCTTATATAAGAGTCTGCTTGTCCAGCCATGTGGCTCTATGGAATGTCTTTAACTGGCCATTCCTGCCCACATTCTGATGCTATCAGGCCAGGTACCATGAACAGTCAGAGCCCAGGAGGCAAAGCCCTGAAAGGAAGCCAATGGGAGTGACATGAACAGAAAAGAAGGCTAAAATCATCTTCAGTTATTGTGCTGGTGCTTTCTACATTGAAGATTGTAGGACTCTAATTGTATGAAAAGATTGCTACTACAAAATCCAAATCTACAATGTACATGTAATTCAAAAATAGAATTTACATTACTGGAGCAAAGCAGAAAAATATCTTTACTTATAGTCTGATATTGATGCTCAGAACGGTCTTATAACCTACAATCTGAGAAAAATTTGTATTCATAAAACACAGAAATGAGAGATCTGTGCACTTGTATTTAAAAAGTAACAGTACAGTTCTTAGCTAAAAGATAAAAGAAAAAGACTGAGGACAAAAAAGCAAGGGAGAAAGAAGAAACTGAAGAGAAAAAAAAATCAATTCACATACCTATGTGTTTCACTTTACTTGATAATCTTGGATGATATCATTTGGTTCCGTTTATTTGTGTCGTTCAGTTGAGAAAGACAGATGGACAGACAGTCAGAGAGAGAGAGAGAAACAGAGATAGAGACAGAGAGAAAGAAAGAGAGAGACACAGAGAGACAGAGGCAGAGTGAAAGAGAAACAGAGACAGAGACAGACAAAGAGAAAGGGGGAAAGGGATGGGGAGGGAGGGAGGGAGGGGGAGAGGGAGAGAGAGACGGACGGATGGACAGACAGACAGAGACAGAGATAGAGACAGAGACAGAGACAGATTTTTCCAGAAAAGCAGAAGCTAGATGTGTGTGTGTGTGTATACAAAAATTGTGACATAAACTTGCAGCTGAGCAACAGCAGAAAACTACACTAAAACTACCACATCTAGATAACAACTCTTCAATGGGTAAAGCTTAAGATGCCTTTCACGCCTGTGCGATTGGCTTTGTGCTTCACCATGACTGAGCAGGATTGTAACCTGGAGTACAGAAAGCACACTTATCTCAGGTTCTAAAATGTAATCACTCTCGTAGCATTCAAATGATTCATTTCTCAGATATTTAATCGCCTTCATTGTACTAAATTTCACAAAACAGTCCATTTCAATGACTGCTGCAAGTTTAACCAGAGCTTCTTAAAATCTCCAATCTGAGCCATGTATGGCTCAGTGAAATGACAAAGAAAAGAGACAGCAATAACTGCTTCTAACAATAAATAATTCCCTCCTGCTCCCCAGCAGTTCTCAGGTCTAGCATTTTAGCCCTGATATTGCAAACTGTATTGCAACCTTTCAGGACACAGCCGAACAATATTTCTCTCTTCATCGTTTTCAGCGTCTCTCCCTGGCCCCATGTCATCTTATGACAGTCATCTTATGACAGTCAGAGGGGCAGGAGGTTGGCACAGGAGCCCGGGAAGGTCATGGCCTTATTTCTGTTCCTCATCTGTTGGAGTCGAGAAAGATACTTAAGAGAAAATATTGCAGTAAATGATGATGCTACTGTTTTTTTTTTTTTTTTTTCTCTGCCATGAGTTAGCAAAAAGAATTGCTTCTAGCACTGATTAAACATTAGATATTACCAGAACAATTAGGAGTGGTAGAAATCTCTGAATTGGTGGGACGGACTATTAGGTTTATAGCCACTACCTGTGTTTGCTAACACCAAAGAACTTCTAGAGGCCACTGTAGTAACTCGGACAACCAATTGGTGTCACCTTTGTGTGTCTCAGTGTTCCTGTGCTGGATGTAAAGCTTGCACATTTTGGTTAGATTTTTTGTGTAATAAGAAATCACTTTCTATTTTCCATTTTTACAGATCATAAAACATCACTTTTCCTAGCTTATCAGATTTCCTATTATTTTTTTAATTCCAGCATCATGCCTTTGCCTCTCATTACTGAATATCTCATTGCTAATGGAAGACACTAGTCAATAAGCTAATAAAAGAGGAAGCTTAATCAATTAGACTCCTTAGTAGTACTCCTAACACAAAATGTGCCAGCAAAATTTTTAATTATACAAAAAATGGAAATTCAGATTATCCTTTACCAAGTTGAAGCTACGCTACTGGCTACATTCACCATGAAGTGTATTTTAATTTTAGAAGTTATATTTTCAACTACTCGCCTTCAGATGATTGGCTGGAAGGTGCAAAGAGAAGGTACTAGGCCTCCTCGATGCGCAGCTACATCTGGGATTCCATAGAAATTCTATTCAAAGTCAGGAAAGCCTTCTGGTACGGTGGATCCTTACACACATCTGTGACTGAAGTGGCGTTCTCCTCAGGGTTTTCACAGCTGCTGACAATGGCAACTGCACTAAAGGACCTTCGCCTGGCGCTGGTGTCTGATGTGTAGGACTCTCGGACTGGTGAGGCTTTCTCCATATTGTGAAGCTGCTGGTCTTTCCAGTCCAGCTGTTTTGCACTGCAAAAGGGGGCATATACCTCCACGCTTCCTTCAAACTGCAAGCAGTTAACTTTGTAGTACTTTCTCTTTACTTCCAAGACATCGTTAAACCTGTGGCCCCAGAGAATCTCTCTGGGCACATAGGAACTTCTAGATTGGTGCGATGTCCCAGTGGAATCACCAGTATAGATAAATGTTACCAAAATCTCAAAATTATCTTTGGCCACGGCTTTGCGATCCAGGGCATACAGAGGACTCTCGTGGTCAATTTCATGCACGATAGTCACTGGTGTCACCAAAATTATCTGGTCATTGACTAACTTGAGGTCTTTAAACGCCATTGTCATCTTCCCTTCACTGTCTTCCGTGTAGCGAAGAAGTTGAGCTCTAACCGTCCCTTCGACCACATGGTTTGGTCGGAAGTCACCAATACGCCACATGAGACAAAGCTTCCCGTCTCTCATGCCTATGAGGGCAAAGTAGCTAAAACGGATGGTCTGGGCTCTCTTCCGTGCTGTAGCCATCTTAGCCAGAGCTGCCCCGATGATGAAGGTGTTTATGATACAACTCAGAATGGACTGAAGGACCACCATCAGCACTGCCACGGAGCACTCTTCGGTGACACAACGGTAGCCATACCCGATGGTGGTCTGGGTCTCAAGGGAGAAGAGAAAGGCCGACGTGAATGAGTGCACGTTGTCCACACAAGGTGGGATGTCCGGGTCGTTTAACAGGTCTCCGTGATGAAAGGCTATGAGCCAAAAGACGGAGCCAAAAATCAACCAGGAGAGAATGTACGATAAAGAAAAGATCACAAACATATGGCGCCACTTGGTGTCCACAAGAGTGGTGAAAATGTCAACCACGTAACTCCCCCACTCTCCGAAAATGTGCTTGAAGTAGACATTGCAGCTGCCGTCCTTGTGAAGCAGGCGTCGCCTTACTCTTCGCTTCTCAGCGAGTATGTGTTCTGGGGGGTAGCCTGGGTATTTGGGGTCCACGTTCACAATCCGGTAGCTGCTGCCGTAGTAGCTCATTCTTGCTCGCTCCTAGGGCATTCAGGGAGCTGTGCGGTGGGAGTAGGGCGAGGCGTGGTATTAGATAAAAATCCGAGTTTTGGGCCACAACCTAAAAAGACAAAAGGAAGAAAATGTAACACATGTTGGCGTTCAAGTTCTAGCTCTGCAGCAGCTCGCTAAATTTAGAGCAATTGTATGCCATGTAAAATAGCTAAGACTTCCTGCGAGCCCGGAGACGTTCAGTATTGATTCCTCCTTGGTTTAGAAATCAGCTCGGTCATTACAGGGAGAAAATGAGCAATCGGAGAAAACAACACTTTTGATATGCCCAAGGCTTGACTAAAAACCACGGTTACCACAAATTCTGTCTGCCTACTTTTCTTTGAGCCGACACAGAAAACAATTTGCTTCACCTTTGTAGATACTTTTTCCCTGAGTGTATTCAGAAAACAAACTCACCCATCGTACACACAGGCAAGATATAGTTCAGCTACTTGTCTGTCAGCCTCATGATTTTTCAAATTATCAACATCAAATTAAAAAAAAAAATCAAATGAGTTTCCCTTAAAGAGATGCAGCCAAGAGGCTCTGTCTTCATTCCTAGTAAAATACACACACCGGTTCCTAAAATCAATAATCCCTTACCTGCAGCACCTGTTGCTTCCTTCTTTTAGCTTTCTTCTTGAGTATTTCCCGGGACAGAACAAAACTGACGAGGGGCATCTACTTCTGATTAAACTCCTTTTCCCCTAGCTCCACCTTTAGTTGTGATGAGGAATAAAAAAGTATTCCTTACCCTCATAGGAGTGAAACCACTCCCAGATAAGCTTTCGGTAAGGTGTACAGTTGCTCATGCCTTTGTCTTATAACATTTATCTCTCTCTCTCTCTCTCTCTCTCTCTCTCTCTTTTTTTTTTTTTTTTTTTTTTTTTTGGACACTGGCATCTCCTCTCTTTCTTTCTGAACAGTAGCCGAAAATTTGCCAAAGTTACTAATCTTGTTTCCCTCTTAAAGGGAACACGCTGCTACACAATTGGACCTTCTTCTCGTTTTCAGTGACTTTTCTGGTGTGTTCACAGTCACTGCTGTGCAAAATGATTTTAATCCCTCTAAATCCAGTCTTTAAGAGATCAAACTAGGATATGTATTTTGTTCTTAACTGGTAATAGATCATTGCTTTTTTTTTTGGTTTAAGTCTAGAAGTATACTTTAAAAACTGTAAGGTCACAATTGCCTTTTCTGACTTTGATATAAAAGAAAAAATGAGAAAGAGCAGAAATAGCAGCACATATAATGGTTTGCTAATTTTGAGAATATTCATTTTAGAATATTCATAGAAACGTGAAATATTAAGCCTATAAATTGAAAAGGACTAGATAACGTGACTTGTGTAAGAAGGGAGATGGAATGTAGGGAGAGACCTGACAAGAGAGGATTCTGCTACTCTGCTCTGGAGAAAGCACAACATGAATGAATACTGTTCCTGTTCTTGAGACCCCTTGAACCAACCGCGGAACATAATTACTCTTAACCCAGCATCTTCCCTGCTGGAAAACAGCAGCAGGAGTAAGGTTCTCCCAGTAGAAAAGAACCATTTTTATCAGTCTCCAGGGACCAGGCCCACTTTACAATAAACTTTTTGTTCAATGGACCATTTACAAGGCTAGACTCTGCTTACAGCCAGAAATCCTGCACTGCCTGGCTGAACTTCTCTCTGCCCATCTGCCTGCTACCAGCTACTTCACCCACCCAGCGACCACCTCTGCTCTGAGTGGTTACATCTTTCCTTAAAGAGCAGTTCAACTGCATTTTCGGGGGGACACTAGCATAATGTCATAGGATATGACTGAGGGCTCCCAAATGCTTGTTGGCAATTGCAATGTAAAATATTTCAATAAATTTTGTTCATGATCATAGCAGGTATGAGAATGGGATGAATTATAATTAATGGACCCTATAATTTTGAATTAAAGAGCAGATTTAGTCAGAATAATTTTCTTGTTAAATGCTTCCAACTCAGTTCCTTTTAAGGAACTATACAAATCTTGCCAGGCTGAGTTAGAAAATGCAGTTCATAAATCAGAATCCACTGGGTGAGTCTGCTTTTTTTCTGCTGCCAAAGGGAAAAAAAGTTTTTATTTGAAATGTCATTCAGTTGGCAACACTGTGAATATGAGTGGTGCTACCAACTACCATACATAAGAAATTTTTAAAGGGTCTTCCCAACTGACAATCAATGGGGTCAGAGAGATAGCTCAGTGGGATAAGTGCCTGCCTGGCAAGCATGAGGTCATGAGTTCAATACCCGCCACCAAAATGCCAATCAATGGATGAAGCTGCAATTAAGTTGCCGGCAAGCAAATTTGAGATTCTAGAAAATTCACTGTTGAACAAGGTAACACTTTCAGATATTAAAAGTTAACAACTATGCAAATTCTGCTCAAACTCACATTTCTGATCATGGTTTCCGAGGTGGTTTGTTCATTTGATAATTTATTGCAGTTTATCCAGAAATAAACTTTTCAACTTTTGCTGGTTCCCACAATTTATTGATATATTCTCTGATTCACCATCCATGTAAATAGTACATATTTTTAGAAATAAATGTTTTTGCGCTGAATGACAGATCATAACTAATCCTATTCTGCGTTACCTGTTTCCTAGCCTCCCCAACAATCACGGAAGTGCATGGCAGTCCTCTTCAATTTATATGCTTAATATTTCATGTTTCTATTTCTTAGAATGAGAAACCAACCCGATAACTGTCTTAATTCTCAATCACCTTGCCACCACCAAGTCTATGACAAAAACTTTTGCAAAGTTCCTACTCTTGTACTTACTTTTTGCATGTTGCTCCCAAGAAATTGACAGTGACTATTATTTCTACTGGATTCACAATTGCTTGATTTCAAATTAAGAATAGAAAAATCATGCATAGTTACAAATCATGGAGTATTAAATCCAAAAGGAAATCTTGAATCAGATAAAGTCTATTTTACCAGGGAGCACATGGAAAAGTTAGGAAAAAACAAAAACACTGTGATTCTTTCCAAGGGTTCTTTTAGAGATGGGGCTACAGGAGAGGACAAGGCCTCATCACAAAGGTGGATGTGCAGAATGTTGTCAAGGTCTGTTTAAGGTACAGACACCTATAAAAGCCCTAAGGGGCACCCTGGCATAGCTTATCCCACGGGTAGAATCAAAAGGGAGAAAATTGGTGCTTCAGGCAACTCAATCCTGAAGCCCACTTTTTCCTACCCTTCCCTTTCTATTAAAAAGATGCATCTTAATCTATTTTGACTAGTAGAACATCCTCTTAGGGATCCTCGAGTCTTTGTATAAGTTCAAAAAAACCCTCATCAATTCAACACAATTCAAATAAAACTGCAACAAACATTTTCAACAAGTGAGCAGCCTATGTATTTGTCCCTGTTTCTTGATCCATAAAATTATCTCAATCTGTCTCATAAATTTTTTTTTTTGGTTAGTGGTACCAGGGATCGAATTCAGGACCTTGTGCTTGACAGGCAAGCACTTATTCCACTGAACTATCTCTCCAGCCCCTGTCTCATAAACTTTTAAGCATTTTCATCTGCATTTCCCTTATCTGTATTTTTTTTTTTTTAGGGAAGTGTCTACAGGATGTTTAGGGTCTCTCTACTACATCAGACTCATAGTGATCAGCCTGTTTACAGCCTCCCAAGTGCTGGGATTACAGGCATGTGCCACTATGCCCAGTCTCAATTACCGTCTCAGCATGCCCTGGGGGCAGGACTGGCACAGCAGGCCAGGAGATCGAAGCCCTGGACTGTAAGCCTGCTTGCAGGCTCTTGAGTCTGCTAAGCTATTTGTCACACACACACCCTTTTTTCTGTTTTTGCAAATTTGGCCACTTTGACAATATTCGTTCATTGTAGTGGTCTTTGATTTCTTTGGTTAGGTTAATTTCTATATTTCATTTTTCTTGATAGTGTCATAAAAGGTATTATTTCCCTAATTTTTTCCCTTAGTGACTATGCTCTTGGTATATAAAAAGACTATTGACTTTTGGGTTTTGACTTTTTATCCTGCTATACTACTGAACTCAGTTATTAATTCTATGAGTCTTTCTGTGGGTTTGAGTGTCTTTCATGTATAGGTCCATTTCATCTGAATTTAATTATAATTTCATTCCTCCTTTCCTATTCATATCTTTTGTGTAATTACTTCTTTATATAATTCTTTCTACTGTGTAATTACCATGGCTAATATTATATAGAACAAGAGTGGTGATAGAGGACAGCCTTGTCTTGTTGCTGACTTTATAGAGAAAGATTTTAGCTTTTCTGTATTTAGTATAAAGTTGGTTATTGGTTTGACATTGACGACTTTCTACAGACTGAGATAAAGATCCTACCTATTTTCTTCAGGCTTTGCTATTATGCATGGTTATTGGACTTTGCCAAATGCTTTTTCTGCATTTTTGAGATAAACATACTATTTTGGTCATTGCTTTTGTTTATGTGGTATATTGTATTTATTGGTTTACTTATGTTAAACCATCCTGAACTTTGGGAATAAGCATTAATCATTATGTATGATCTTTTAGATGAACAAACTACATTCTGTTTGCCAATATCTTGCAAATTTTCTTACCTACGTTCATTAAAGTGATTGATCTGTAGTTCTCTTTTATGGCTAGGTCCTTTTCTGGTTTTGAAATGAGGGTTATGCTTACTTCCAGGAAAGACTTTGGAGTACTGCTTCATTTCTAACTTCATTTAAAAGTCTAAGAAAGGGCTGGTGAGATGGCTCAGTGGTCTAAAGCACCTACTTAGAACAAGCTTAGCAAAGCACAGGGACCGCGGTTCAATCCCCCAGCACCACATGCCAGCCAGCCCCGCCCCCTGGTGGGCTGAGCAGGCCACACACACACACACACACACACACACACACACACACATAAATAAAAGTCTAAGAAAAGGGCTGGCCACATAGCTCAGCAGACTAAAGCACCTGCTTAGGCAGGCACAGGGATCAGGGTTCGATCCCTGGTGCGCCCTGCTGGCCTCACCCCCAGAGCACACTCAAAATTAAGGAAAGAAATGTCTTTTTTTTTTTTAGCTCACA